ATGCGGGGCTCGATCCCAGGACTCTGGGATCATGACCTGAGCCGAAGGCAGACGCTTAACGACTGAGCCACCCAGGCGTCCCTTAACACAATTTTTAAAAGCCACTCTTTGTAATGGCTTGCTAATTTCAGAAAACTCTTCAGAAAACTTTAGAAAACTCCTCCATGAAAATGTAGCTGGAATTATACAAAATTAATATTTATGAGGTACACAGAAGTTGCACACAATTAAAAAAGTTTTTACCTCCAAAAAAAAGAGGACAGTAAGTATTTGAAAGAGTGGATTAATTTTTCTCACAGTCTGAATTTCGTTCCATTCATTTGCTACAAAATATGTTCTCCATATGCTCACAGGAACCGTGGCACTCCGAACACCACCCTCACCTGGTCAGAGAGATAAAGTAAGTAAAAGGGTTTCATCTTTGTTCTGGAAAAAGCAGCAAAAGAATTTTGGTACAATGGTTATTTCTGTTACCTTCAACAGCTTTAAGAACCTTTCCTTTAGGTCGCTCCCAATCAATAAAGAATATATCTATGGTAATCTGGGATATAAGCTTATGCAAAAATTGCAGAGCCTGAAAATGACAGAACACTTGAAAAGTATCCACATTAAGCCTGATTATGAATACAATAATGATTTTTTTTAAGAAACAAATATACTGTAATCACAAGAATATACAATTTTCACAAATGACAAAGTTATAATATCATTAGGGGATCACTAGAAGCTCATCAAATAACACAGAATCACCAAATTCACAAAATTTTCATACACATTAATTTGCCTTCCCTTCTCTGTCTTTCTTTAAAATAGGGATATGAAAAAAGTAAACATCCTACCTCTTCCTCGTACAGGGGCCATGCCTAATTGACTCTCTTTCCCAAGGTTTCTAAAAGACCATCTGATTTCTTTATAAGTAAAGGTATTTTTCAACTATAATTGGTTGTCTTAATTAAAGCTTTAAGAAGCCTTCACTATCTTTTTTTTCTATTCCTGGTATTGAGATACTTAATGTTTAAAATGTGTTGTTGAAACACATCTTTTTCATTTAACAAAAGTAATATGTTTAATCTAGGGTGTTCTTCCTAGTAGATGCATTATTCATCAAAGGATAAAAGTATAAGGATAGGATAATTCCTCTCTTCAAGGAGCTCACAGATCAGTGGGAAAAGCAGACACTGAATAATCACAGGACCATGGGATGAGATCTACCAGGGGCATGTTAAGGAGCTTCACATACATTGACAGAAAAATGAAATAGGGAAAGGGGATGCCATGAGAAGAGGAGGAAAGGAATATGGAGACAGAGAAAACAAATTCTAAGACAAATTCAGCATATTATCCAGGGTGGTACCCTTTATTGCCCATTAAAGAGATAAAATTCATGCCTAAAGACATTTTATCCCATTGTGAATGCATCTTCAGACTTTAAAAAAGAAAGTCTATGATGAATTATCACTTTATCAAATTAGCTGTAACTTGTATTAATCCAAAAATACTTATTATGGCTTCTTAGGAAAATTATTTAAGCTAGATTTTCAGAATGAACTACCTATTATATTTCCTTGGTAAAATAAAATAATTCATGCTTCCTTTTAAAATCAAACTAAATTTGGGACATCTGGGTGGCTCAGTAGGTTAAGTGTCTGCCTTCAGCTCAGGTCATGGTCTAGGGTCCTGGGATCAAGTCCCACATCAGGCTCCTTGCTCACCAGGGAGCTGCTTCTCCCTCTGCCTGTCACTCCCCCTGCTTGTGCTGCTCTCTCTCTCTCTCTTTGACAAATCAATAAATAAAGTCTTTAAAAAATAAAAATAAAATAGAACTAAATTTTACACCAAAGATTTTGAAAGCATTTTAATTTTAACGACTTACGAGTTTAATAGCAGGTCTTTTAAATTCAGGAATCTGTCCTTCGAAACTTACCTTCAGAGCAAAAGCACATCCCACGTAAGTAACAAGACGTTCTTCCTGAGCTGGCACTGGTAGCAAAACAGAGATAGATTTCTGTGCCTATGATAAAAATTACACTGTTAAATATGACCACACGAGGTTTTTAATAAGCACAATTTATAAACCAAAGATGCACAGAAAAGGAAAGTGGTGATACTTAATAAACAGCACATTCAAGAAATGGTGGTTTAGCACTTGCCTCAATACTCTTGATCAGAAATATCCCCAAATAAAAACGGTTCCTTTATAAAGACAGCTTACCAGTTATTCAGGTATTAACATTTAGGTTAAATTCGGGAACTCACTTACTTTGAAGAAAATAAGCCAATAAAGACCTGTTCCCACAGTGATGATAAAGAAAACATTGGCCAGATCACCAGCGTAGTACACCAAGAATTTCATAACTGTCTGCAATTTAAAAAGAGAATTATAGTTGTTATAGACTCAATCTATTTATACTATCACTTTCAGTAACATATTCTCCCAGTTTCTCAAGCTTGAAGCCTTGTTTCATGTATCCATGGATCACTCAGTTACAAAGTCTAACTGTGGCCATCTCCTGGATTCCTTTGGATCTGTACATTTCAGTCTATTCCCAAAAGCACCTGTCTTACCCAACACTTCTCACCTTTCACCATCTAAGAAAGTTATATTGCTTCCTAATTCTTTCCTAGTTTGGAGCCCTCCACCCCAATCAGTCCTTCATACTACCACCAGAGTTGGTTTTCTAAAATGTAAATTGGATTGTGTCACTCCCTTTCCTAAAAATGTACAGTGACTCTTCACTAGAGTATAAATTCCAGACCCACAAGGTCCTTCACAACCTAGACAAAATGGACTTTTTAGCCTCACCTGCCAGTTCCAACCACTTACTCTCTGATTAACTTGCATTTCAATTATTTTGTGGAATGAAATGGGCATTGTTTATTGTTTTGGCTCAAGTCATGATCTCATGTGTCATGAGATTGAGCCCCACATTAGACTCCACGCTCAGAGGGAAGTCTGCTTGGAGATTCTCTGCCTCTGCCCCTCCCACTGCATGCTCTCTCTCAAATAAATAAATACACCTTTTAAAAAATATATTTAAAAAATTAAATGAGTAGGAAGTTTATTTTACTTCTGCCACAATTTCATTCTGCATAAAATGGGAATGATAACAATTGTATCTGATTTCACAGAGCTATTGTGAGGATTAAATAAATTATATAAATAAAACTTAAAAAAATGTCTAGCATATATTCAGTAAATGTTAGATAAAAATAAAAACAAAGATAAATTTACAAAAGATTATATGAGAAGTAAAACTATAGTTAATAGAATAAAACCTGGGAGGGTATCTTTGTGATCTTGAGATTGGGAACGTTTTCCTAAAAAATATTCTAGAAGCATATGAAAAACTAATCAGATGTGACAATATCAAAATTTAGAGTTTCTGTTAAACAAAGTAACACATAGATAAAAATAACAGATGGGTCATATTTGGAGGAGATATTTTAGCATCAAAAACCAAAAAGGGATTCATATTTAGAAAACACAAAAAAACTCCTTTAAATAAACCAGAGAAACTGGAAACCTAATAGAAAAATTTGCAAGGGATATAAACAGGCAGTTAACAGAAGGGGAAACCCAAATGATTAATAAAGTATATGAAAAGCAGAGCAATGAAAATGAAACCAACAGTGATGTACTACTTATACTGCCAGACTGGAAAAAAATGGGAAGCCTGGAAAAACATCAGGCGTTGGTGAGGATGTGTGGAAACCAGAACAGCGCTGCTGGTGGGAGTGTAGACCGGCATATAGCAACGTGGGAGGGGAATGAGGTGTGCATATACTTCTCCTAGTTATATACCCCAGAGAAACTTACGGCAATTTTTTACTTGTTCTCCAGCTGTATCTTAAAAGGATACAAAGTAGTGAAAAGATGAAAATATACTTTAAAAACTCCTGAGATCATACCTGTAAATCAATCATGGGACTTCCAATGCGCCTCTTCCAACTTGCTGTCTTCAGAAGAGATGATAAAACAGCCAGCCCACCCAAAACACCCAAAGCAATCTAAAAAAAAGAACATTTTGGAATATATGTAATTTCCCCCATCAATGGGGGAATGCAAATAGAGTATAAAGATGTGCTCAAAAAATGGTGGAGGGTGTGTTGCGAGGACATAGGGACCAAGTTGAAGGAACTCCCAATGGCTAAATCTAGGACAACTTGAGCAAGAAGACAGATAGTAATGAATTATAATCACGAGAATAAAATAAATATATCCAGGAGTCCATACTGATTTAAAGAAATAATTGAATAAATAAATCTATGTGGGCAAAGGGACAACTCCTTATAAAATTCCATTTAACATATAAAAGAAATGATAGAAATAGAAAAATCATTATGAGGCAGATATTACAATAATACTTTTTATAGACAAGAATCATCACTGGATGCTAAAATTAGAGACCAAAAGGATAATGAGAAGCAGGATATTTGCATCCTCTCAAAGTATCTCCCCCACAAGATACTTAATTACAAATGGAAAAATACAGTGGAGAACTCCACAGACACCACCTTAGACATATGATCCAAGTTAGTATCATTAGTATTAAGACATCCTGACACCATGTACCTTCTGATATGATGCACAGAAAAGGGCACAACATCATATCGGTGGTATCTGTGTCAAAACTACATGAACTTGATTTAATTATGGGAAAACATCAGATAAACCCAATCGAAGGCCAAAATAATTGACCAGTACTCTTCAAAAGTGTAGGATGGGGTTCTGAAAGAAAGAGAAAGACTGAGGAACCATCACAGATTAAAGGAGACTAAGGAGACGTGACCACTAAAAGCAATATGCGACCCTGGGTTGGGTCCTAAAACAGAAAAAGGATAGTGAAAAAACTTGGGAAATTCAGAGTATGTAGATCAGTTAATAGGATTACATCGGTATTATTTTCCTTATTGTGAACATTGCACTATGGTTATGTAAGCTGTTAACATAAGGGGAGGCTGGGTGAAAGATACATGGCAGAACTATTTTGACGATTCCCTTGTATATCTAAACATTTTTTAATTAAGAAACATACTGTAAATATTTTAACAAGTTAAATAAACTTACATCTGTCTGGACTTGTGCTTCTCCTTGATCCATTTCATATTTGACTGAAAAAGAAACCTGGTATTTAAAAGAAAGTAAATTAGCCATACTAAAATTATATAACACAAAGCTTTTACTATAAAGATGTATTTGTATATAAATGCCATATTTTTAATTTATTAATGTTACTAGAGTTGACCCTTACTTATACATAAATGGAAATACTTTGAGGAATTACTCATGATGCTCTGAATATCCCTTTTGAACATACATAGAAGAAAGAGGGGTTCATTAGGAACTCGTTTAGGTTCATTAACAGCAGTCAAGCTAATGATATTTCATTTTCTGATAGG